GGACTGATGTGGAGGCAAATATGGGGGAAATTGACTTATTTCACGGGAAAATTGAATGACCTTTGAATTGACGTATTTGGGGGTCCGAAACCCCCCTTAAAATTAGTTTGAAGTAATTTCTGTGATTTTTACTTATACGTGCTTACAATTTGGTAAATTTTCCCGTTTTATTTTTTTCATTGCGATAATTTGAACCGGAGTTATGATTTTTTGAAAATAGGTCAAATTTGACCTTTGACCTATCATAACTCAGTCAAAAATTAAGATATTGACCTGCGGTTTGCGCCAAAATTCTTAGTTTTTTATGCGCTTTCGAATGAGGTAGCACAAGATAGGGGTTGCTATTTGAAAAAAAATAGTTGGGGTCCGCAGCCCCTCCCCACGGGGGGGGGGGGCGAAAATTTTGGGGGGCCCCAAAAGTAGCTAACATTGACCGATGAACATCCCCAAAATTTCGTTTCAAAATATCAATTAGGTAAAATTTTAGAGGGGGTGGAAGGGACTTTTGGGACACCCTGTATAAATAAACTAGGGGGCTACGCCCCCTGGCCGCTACGCGGCCCAATCCCCTGAAGGTGCTCCGCGCCATCAATGGGCCGCTTCGCGGCCCTATTTTTACCCTCAAACAGTTTTATTTTTCCCCTCAAAAATTACGATATGAGGTATACTTTACTTTTCGAATGAAATAATTTTTGGTTTTGTTGAATAAAGAAAAAAAAATTCTTTTTGAAGTCAAAAGGACGCGTTTTGGAAGGACTGCTTGATAAAATATTGCAGTACCTAAAACAACGAATAATATTAATCGGGAAATAATTAAATAATTCAGTAGTTGGGGATCGATTCCACACCTTGATCGATGAGGATGCTTCCGACGTCTTTGACGACTCGGCCACCGCTAGCTTGATGTATAATTGTGCGAATCTTGTGTTGATAAGCAGAGCTGATGCGCAAGCTACACATCCACTGCGCAACCTCCTCGACCACTGCGCATCCTCCCGCGCATAGCGGTAGCAGTCCCGGAGCATTCTGTAAATTCACTCACTGTTATAACGTGATTTTCATAAACCTGGGTCCTATTTCCAACATCTGATTAGAGCGGGCTCATCTAGGGCCTATCACCTGTCGATTTACGCAAAAATCATGGAAATCGGCCCGGTAGAACGCCCAAACGAACTGTGACAAAAAGTATAAATTTACATTGTTTAAATGGAAGAATTTGCAACTTTGCCACGTAATTTAAAAAAACCTGGGTCATATTTTGAAAAACTGAATAAAACGAGCTAATCTAGAGACAATTGCCCATCGATTGCCGCAAAAATCATGAAAATCGGCTCGGTAGAACGCTGGAACTAAGCGTTACCAGATACGCAATGTTAGGTCTTGGAGCTTATATGCAGGGTGATCCAGACCACCCGGCCATTATCTTTTTCTCGAAAACGGCGGAGATTGAGCTTCGGGACCAAACCTTTCATCGGTTGAATTGACCCCAAAGAATCGAATGAAAATATTTTCAGCCCCCCAAAATGGCCCCTTGGGGGAGTTTTGGGGGGGGGAGCCCCCGCGTTTCTCGCAATTTTCAAATGGGAAGGGTATGTTTTGACTTTGGATTCGGAATCTACGGTAAAAAATAAGAAAACTTTGTTCTTTGCACTTTTTCCCTAAACCCCCATTTATTGGAGTTATGGGGCACTTTTTGGGCAATTTTCAATTCGACGTTGTAAGCGGCCAAATCATCCAAATTTCAAAATCTAAAAATCTCCTGAGAGGAGAGGTCAATACCTTTTTATTGATGTGCCACATGACCCCTGTTGCTCCAAAATTTTGGGGGTCACGACCCCCCAAAAATTTGGGGGCTTTGGAGGGCCATGAGTCGAAAATTTCGAAAGGCAAGGGTATGTTTTGACTTCAGATTTGGATTCTACGCGAAAAGTTACGTAGAATTGATATGGCGCATGGCCTGTTCGCTCAAATTTTTTTACCCCTTATTTTGTCCAAAAATACACGGCTTTTTATGGGAAAATGGGGTTCTTCAGTAATTTGGAGCAAACAGGCCATGCGCCATATCAATTCTACGTAACTTTTCGCGTAGAATCCAAATCTGAAGTCAAAACATACCCTTGCCTTTCGAAATTTTCGACTCATGGCCCTCCAAAGCCCCCAAATTTTTGGGGGGTCGTGGCCCCCAAAATTTTGGAGCAACAGGGGTCATGTGGCACATCAATAAAAAGGTATTGACCTCTCCTCTCAGGAGATTTTTAGATTTTGAAATTTGAATGATTTGGCCGCTTACAGCGTCGAATTGAGAATTGCCCCAAAAATGCCCCATAACTCCAAAAAATGGGGGTTTAGGGAAAAAGAACAATGTTTTCTTATTTTTTACCGTAGATTCCGAATCCGAAGTCAAAACATACCCTTCCCATTTGAAAATTGCGAGAAACGCGGGGGCTCCGAGTTTCTCGTCGAAAAATACCCCTGGATACCGAGTTTCACGAAAATCGATATAACAGGAGCCGACTTAGCATTTTAGGCCACGGCCGCCATCTTGGATTTGGAAATTTTGAAAATCTGACCAAAAATTCGAGTTCCCCGTCGAAAAGTACCCCTGGTTACCGAGTTTCCCGAAAATCGATACAACAGGAGCCGACTTAGCATTTTAGGCCACGGCCGCCATCTTGGATTTTGAAATTTTGAAAATCTAACCAAAAATTTGAGTTCCCCGTCGAAAAATACCCGTGGATACCGAGTTTCACGAAAATCGATAGAACAGGAGCCGACTTAGCATTTTAGGCCACGGCCGCCATCTTGGATTTGGAAATTTTGAAAATCTGACCAAAAATTCGAGTTCCCCGTCGAAAAGTACCCCTGGTTACCGAGTTTCCCGAAAATCGATACAACAGGAGCCGACTTAGCATTTTAGGCCACGGCCGCCATCTTGGATTTTGAGATTTTGAAAATCCGACCAAAAATTCGAGATCCCCGAGAAAAATACCCCCGCTTACCAATTTCCACAAACATTCGTCGAAAAATACCTCCTAAAACCTTAAATTTCGTCTATAAGGCAGTGACGTCACGCAACAGGATTGAACCTGTTCGGCGCGATGCGCGTAAACAACCGCGTATCTCCAATGTAATACTATATGGAGAAATAACTTTTCCCTCTTGCGGGCATCCGAGGCAGCGGATTTGAATGGGAATAATTTTAATCAACTCCTCATTACAATAGCTAAGCGTGTACCAATTTTAAAGGAAATCGCTTCGGCCAATTTTTATCTAGGGCTTTGTCTCCACGAGCCGTTTCGCGAGATTTGTCCCAGGGAAGAATCCCACTTACGAAGTTGGGAAAAATATTGAGTTAATCAATATTTTTCCCAGTACCAAGTATGGTACTTGTACCTCTAGGACCCATTGAGAGAAGAAGAAGAAGTGAAAACGAATTTTGCGATATTTTATTCATTACTACATTGTTCATGTTTGTTTAGTTAAAAAATGTGTCTAATTCTCAATTGAGTGCAATTATTATTTTAATCCCGGTCAAATACTCGACTTTAACTGATTTATCTTCCCGCGCAAATTAGTCGCAGGACTACAAAGAACCCCGTCCGTGGAGACGGTAACTGGGAAAAATCCCAGAAGTTTCATTCCTGCGATTTGAACTTGGGACAAATCCCATGAAAACGTCCCGTGGAGACAAGGCCTACGTCAAATACGTGCTTTACCAACAACGGGTTGTAACAAATGTATGAATATATCATTTCAGAAATTTTGAGTCTTTAGATTGGATGCCCTCATAGGTCATATAAGAATCGCGGTTACGCGTAAATGTTGTACGTCAGCTCAAAAATGAGATAATTTGACGGAATTTTAGTGCATTTTTATCATAATTTCACGTTGGAACCAAATTTTCTCGCTGAAAGATGAATTTTTCAACGGCAAAAAAATTTTGGTCCGGGTACCAGGGTTCATTAAGGAGGAATAAAGAGTGCCCTTTGTTCCTACCCTCACAATGGACGGGTTGCGGGGTTGCCGGCCTATGGTCGTTGATCAATAGAGGGTGTCCGGCGAGCGATCCGGTCTCCGAGTCCGAGACTGATACGTTGCCATTTACGGATTTTAATGCCGAATGAAAAGTCTCAGGTTTCGTGAAATGGACTATAGTGCAGGCTGTCCCAGACCACCCGTATCAGGCCTTTTTCTCGGTCGGTATAAGTCGTACGAAGTCAGGGACCGTGGAGATGAATAGGAAATCGACTCCAAGGAATTCGAATTGCATGGTCTCAAATTCCCTTGGAGAGGCANGGGGGGGGGGGGGTGGTTCACGATCCTAAAAGTTGAGGTTCCCACACATTGGGACGCACGCGGGGAACAGTGGCCCCCCTCTATATTTTCTCTTCGGTCGCAAAATTGACGTAGATTCTCCGGAAAAAAATGACTTCTCAGGTAGTTGACCCCAAGGAATCCGATTTTCATGGTTTCAAAGACCCTCTAGCTTACCTTGGGGGTAAACGGGGGGGGGGGGGGTACAATTTTAAAAGTCGGGGTTCATTCGCGAATCGCAAATTGGTGGCTTTCAAATTCAAAAGTGCAACAAATTTAAATTTTATTCGACACATGGGAGTTCAAGTTAACCCACTTACCGCTTAAAAGTATCCCTCTGAAGAAGGAGGCGGTATACCCTAGGTATCGCTCATGGGTCGCAAAAGTGACGTAGATTTACCGGAAAAAGATGGTACACCAAAACTTCTGATGGGAGGTCAAGGGAGCTCCGAGTCCTTGAAATTCGGATTTCTTGATGTCTTAATGGGGGGGGGGGGGGAATAGGNNNNCCTCCCCCTTCCAAGAACCGGCGCGGAGCGAGGCGGAGCGCCCGTTTTTCTTTTAACCGTTTTTAAGGCACAGTTTGGTTATTGAAAGGGAGCTTAGCATGAAATAAGAAAATATTTTCGAGAGTGATCTGTTTCATTCACTTTTTTTTTATTCATGTACTTTTTCTTCTCTTTCAGACCTTTCTTGGCTATTTTAGGAGGAGCTAAAGTAGCTGATAAAATTCAATTGATTGAAAATTTGCTGGACAAAGTGTCTGAAATGATTATAGGAGGAGGAATGGCATATACATTCTTGAAAGAATCAAAAGGAATGCAGGTAGGACTCAAATGATTTTCCCATTTTACATGGTTCTTTTTATAATTACTGGCCATGATTTTTTGTTTAAAGTTATTAAAATGCTGCAATGGTCCTATTGCCCAATTTTCTGTCATTACCATTTCTGCATAGCATTTCGTCTAGACCGGATCATTCTTTGCACCATACAGCCACTTATTGTTGTTCATTATAAGTATTTTCGTTTTCAGTTATGTTATTAGTTCCCTAAAGAGGCTTACCCTCTACTCTTCTGACAAATCGGCCTAAACGCGGAATCCTACAGGGATGATAGAGAGAGGGTCAGTGTCCTCAAAGACTCAAAGCTGGTCAGAATCAAAAGCTTTAAAACAATATAACTTTTCATCGATTTGTCATAAAAATATGATCTTGACGTCGAACTTTTAAGAAAAGTAAGAGCTTTCACAATATGTGCATAAAATGAATAATTCGAGGAAATATAAAGAGTCCTCCTTTCGTAAATTGTTTCATTTCAAGCTGTGATGCCGCGCCGTTAGGTTTGCACAGAACAGAACACAAACAATATTAAATGAAAGTAGAGGGTTAAAAGTCTTAGAATGAGCTCAAGGTCATCTCGGGGAAACGATTTGAAGTTGATTTATACTTTTTTCCAGTTGACATGGTGCGCAAGATCGGTGGAACCTTGTATATTCATACGCGCCCCTCATTGACCGCAGGCCACAAATTTTTGTGCATTTGTACTTTTTTAGGTCGTTCTCAAAGTGAATCACTGAATTTAGTTAAAAAAATGAGAATGTACTGCAGCATTTGGTATTCATCATTACCTCAAAATTAATCAGTGCTGTATGAATCAATGGATTGTATTTATATTTGATCTTAAAACAAATGGCTTCCTCTAAATTTTGAGACCAGAATAATCATTCCCAGCCAGTCATTAATGAAGTGTGATGGATATTATGGTTGAATCTGCTAAAAGTTGTCCGTCGAAAGCACTGAACATTGGTCATTAATATCCGTGGAGTCCATGGATCCCTTGAGTCACGGATCCATAAACTTCACAGATATCTGTGACTAAATTTTCATGCAGTGTACGGATTTCGATGCGTAGGTCTATGGATTTCAAAGAAGGATGGATTTCAAGGGCCCCCACCTTTTTTCTTTAAAATGGGACCCCTACCCCTTGTGATACGTTGTTCACAAGATGATGTAAAGGAATATTTTTGCGCGAAACCGCAAGTTGCCATCTTCATTTTTTCTCAAGATGGTGGCAGAAAATGGCATTTTAGCTATTTGTTGATGGATTCATCTGAAACTCAGTATTCAGGGATTTTTTGAGACGAGAAAAACGAATATGGTGAGATATTTTAAAAAAAGCTAATTTTTTCAGAGTGGCGGAAAATTGGCATTTGTGACGTTTACCAGTGGACTTGCATCAAACTTAGTATCTAATCTGGGAGTATTCGGGAACGGAAAATGGTCTTTTTAGTTCAATCTACCAAAGACTTTCTAAAATGGCGGCCACAAATGGCGAGAAATTGGCATTTCAGCTTTTTCCATAAATTTATCTGAAACTGAAAATCGGGTGGTTTTTTGAGACGAGGTAGACAAATTTAATGAGCTTTTTTCAAAATAACCAATTTTTTGCTATATTTCAAATATCCCGCCATTTTGAAAATGCTTTGATTTATTCATATAATGAGACCAGATTTACTTGAATCCTTGAATACGGATTACAAATTTGAGCAAATCCATTGGTAAACGTCACGAATGCCTATTTTCCGCCTTGTTGAAAATAATTAACTTTTGTAAATATCTCACCATATTCGTTTTTCTCGTCTTAGAAAATCCCCGGATACCAAGTTTCAGATGGAACCATCGACAAATAGCTTAAGTTCCAATATCCCGCCATTTGCGGACGCCGTTTTGAAGAAATAACCAGATTAAGGGAAAGTTTTTGTTTTTCTCCCAGAGAGGTCACTTTCACTTTGCTTTGTAACGCCCTAACATGCTGCTCGGCAGCTCTAAAAATCGAAATTTCACAGTTTTTGAATGTACAATGAACTTTTTGCGTAGTCTCTAATGGTAGTAAAAATCCAAACATTTGTGGAAAGTAAGTCCATACCATCAGCATGGAAGGGCAAATTTCAAAAAATTTCTAGGTCTTTTATTTTTTATCAAGCAATGCCCGCAATGGCGGAATACCGTCAAAAAATAGCTCAATTTTGACAGTTTTTCCGCTTTCGAAAATTCATTGGACACCCTGTGATGACAATGAAGGTCCAAAAATTCGTAGAAAGCAAGTTTATACCGTGCATATGGAAAAAAAAAATTTACTTGGTTCCTACATCATACATTCTTTGTCCTGCAATGCCCGAAATGGCAGCGAAAACGTCAAAAAAACCTCAACTTGGCCGTTTGTTTGTTCTCAAAATCTTTTTAACACCTTGTAGCGGCAGCAAAGGTCTGAGAACTTGTGCAAAGTAAGTTCATACCCTCTGTAAGGAATAAAAGATTCCACTTGGTTCCTATGTCTGACATTCCTTGTCAAATGAGAAATTGACCGAACTAGAGATGTTGAATCTTCATTTGTTCCTACGTTCCCCCGTACATATAATGCGATTTTTGAATGGACACCCGGGAATCTTACAAGCTCGAAAAGTAAGGAAATAGCCGTTCATAAATTAGGTGAAGGACGTTTCTCCCTTGACCCACCCCTCTGCGCACGCACGATTGCAAATTGTCTCCTAAGTCTCAACTTAACCAGTCGATGCGGTCGTGGCACGGTGTTGCGCTGCCGAAGAAATATGCCAAGTATCAGACGCCGAGTGGTTAAAGTCAGCCAAAGTATTTGTAAAAACCTATTTGGCGCTGCACTGCAGTATACGCAAAAACATGTTGGCGGTCAACTTGTATTCAATGCACTGTGGGCCAGAGGTGCCGGTTGCGCGAGAATAATCGATATCTCGGTTAAATCCGAACGAAAATCACTAAGTTTCGATTATCGGGGGTTTTATGGGTCGCTGAACTCGAATTTGATATCAGATTTGTTCAAAAATTACAAGGAAAGTATGTTATGAGGATTTAAGCTAGTCCAGTGAAGATTCCTTTTTTCGAACAATCGCACTGGGATTAGAAACCATGTTAACGCTGGAAAACTTTCAAAAACAAAATTGAGGACTTAAAAGTGACCAAGAAGAGTCTGGAAAACGATCTAATATTGTCAAAATTAGAAGAATAAAAGACGAGAATGTTCACAGATGAACGTTTTATACGTTTTTTTTTTTTTTTTTTTTTTTTTTTTTTGTCACTGTCTCCTCGTATTATTTTTTCTTGTGGGTTACCATGTTCAAATAAAGAGAATAATTTTGCAAAGTAATGCCCTGCATAGTTTAACAGTTCTATGTTTTGCTGTTGTAAGCTATCAAGTATCATGTCAGAGGATCAAAGAAGCATTCTATGAATTTTCTTTAGAGGCGCTAGACATGAGAATGGTCAACATTTACTTACAACGCTCATTGGAAATGACTGTAGGTTGAACAGTGTTTTTTTACCACTCTTGCATTTGGTGCAACATTCTTGGACTTTAATAAATTCCGCCAAAATGTTTACCAATTATCGGCTAAGCTCAAAATTCAGAAATTTGAATAATAATTAAAAAAAGAAAAAGAAAAAAAATGTTTCATATCAAATCAGATCTGAATTCAAATATCCACGGACTTGCCATCGATTTAGCTTGTCAACAATAGCAGCTTCTAGTGCGATTGAAATCGTCAATACATTTGAGAAGCACGAAAACCGTAGGCAAGTTGCTGTGATCGTCTGGTATGTGAAAGGACACAATTACTTTCAGGATACCAAACGTCGTAAGTGAAGCAGCAGGACAAAATTTGGCTTAATGTAAACTGTACCATGGGTTAGAAGGGTTAGTTCTGCATTAGTTGGCACAAAGATATAACTGAAAAATTCCTAAATTTGACCACTTTGCAGCATTTAAAAGTTCGAGGGAGAAAAACAAGTTTTCCAAGTAAATAGCAGTTAAAGTTTGTCTGTACTGTTGCGTATCTTGAGGAACGATCCATCTTAAACGCTTACATTATTAATAACGCAAATCATGGCTTGAAAGATGGACCCAATGCCCTTTAGAATATTACATTAGGAATTATTATCATTGAAAACTAAAGTAGTGTGGGTTTTTTTTTACCCTCAAACTGTTTTCTGATGTACTAAACAATTTCAGTTTTCATTTAAAGGCGCATTTTGTCCTGATGCGTCACATATAATACCCGTACGGTAGTATTAATAATTTCACTTACAGGAAAGAAGAAAAATATAAAAGGCAGAATGATAGACAGATTTATAATGTCCTCTCATCTGAGAACCTTTTTTGCACTTATTAAATACACTGGAAAAAAAACACATCAGATCTTGAGTCCAGACTCCTGAAAACATTGACAAGAAAAAATACTCTTGATTCAATCAGATTTTTGCTTGAATCAAAACGAAATCTGCTTAAATTAAGAGGCTTTGTTCTTGATTTAAGCTAGATTCTGATTGAATCAAGAGTCCTTTTTCTTGTCGATGTTTTTAAGAGTCTGGACTCTAGATCCAATGTGTTTTTTTTTTCAGTGTACAAAAAAATGTGGCAACCATGGAAAAAGTGCACACCCTCAGAAGCGTAGCAACTCAATTTAATAATATTATTACTATTTACTTGGAAGAATTAATTTACTGTACGATATCTAAGGTCATAATTTGTGAAACATGAACTTAATCCTATTTTTGATGAGTCAATTTTTTTTTAACAAAATTAAAAAAAATGGGTTTCCTGCAGCAAAGTTGTGGTGCAAATGAATGTTGAGGATTTAAAGAAAAAGTATCTGGCCTTAAAACTCTAGAGACTTAAAGAAAAAACTGCAGAAAGCTTTTTCGATGGAATTTTTATGATTTATTAGGCACATTCTCTAACAAGCTTTTTGGACAGTGAAAAGTGCGTAATGGAAAAATGTTTACATAAAATGAAAGCTCTTTCTTAGGAGAATAAGTCCTAGTGAACAAATTTTCATCCTGCGCAACCGTTGAGCCGTGCTAAGGCCTTACACGGTTGCAGTTCAGGACGCGCTTCTATATATTATCTGTGCAGCGTGAGAGGTACCCAAGTTCCCCCCTCGATACATCGCTGCTGGGCGATTAAACAATGAAATTTTGATGAATCCTCATCCCTTAGAGAGGCACTTCAACGAATTCCTCATCATCATTACAACACTGGACACTCTTAAAAACGGTATTTTTCGCGTAAATCGGGCCTCCCTGCCCACAGTGCAATGCATTAGTATAGAGAAAAACAATTTTTCACTTATTCAGGTCTCAAAGGCAACTTTTTTCAAATTGTATTTATTACCCATCGTCGAATTGACCTCAGCTTCATTTTGGCCAAAGAAGGAAATTGCTTTAACAGATTTTTTGTAAAGTGCTTATCATCTTTTAGATTCATTACATTCTGCAGATGAATTGTCGATTTGTCTGCATGTTTTTCTTTCATTTCTTTTGCATAGGTACCGCATCATATTGGTGAACATTGCAAAGTACCAAGAAAGTTGCAGGAACCCTTTTACATTGGTGAATTTTCTATAATTAATACTTATCAATTTATGTCGCTAGATTGGAACATCACTCTATGACGCTGAAGGTGCCAAAATAGTTAAAAAACTGCTGGATAAAGCTGAAGCTAATAAAGTAAAAATTTACCTTCCTGTTGACTTTGTAACTGCCGACAAATTTTCGGAAGATGCTGCCACAGGATCAGCTACTGTTGAATCTGGCATTCCTGAAGGTTGGATGGGTCTTGATGTTGGACCAAAGTCAAGAGAGCTTTTTACTGAACCAATTCTAAGAGCCAAAGTCATCGTATGGAATGGGTAAGTGACTCGCCGGATTTTCAGTGATGGGGAGAATGGAAAGGTTTGACTTTTAGAGTCAAAACATGGCAAGCTTTTAATTTTCAAAAACGGAAATTTTTTGATTTCCTGACTAACAAAGTGAATCATTGAAGATCAGCCATAATAATAATCACTTGATAAACTGAGTAAGATACGAATTTTCCAGTAAAGCCAACTTTGTCCCTTAAATCCCCTCAAGCCAATTCCAGAGCAGAAGCCTTCAATTTAAGACCTATACATATTTTCAGTAAGCTAAAATCGCCTGAATATGGAGAAAAAATGAATGTTTATGATTTCCTTCAACTCCCAAAACTCGAAATATTCCATAAGCCAATAACTGGGGTAATTCTTTTTTCAAGGCCTGCTGGTGTTTTTGAATTTCCCAACTTCGCAAATGGAACCAAAGCCATAATGGATGCAGTTGTGAAAGCCACAACCCAAGGTTCAACAACCATCATTGGTGGTGGAGATACTGCTACTTGTGCTGCCAAATGGAATACTGAAGATAAAGTGAGTCATGTCAGCACCGGCGGTGGTGCCAGTCTAGAATTATTAGAAGGTACGTTATGGCAAATTATTTTTTGAGATAGCGGTGAAACCTTATCAGTTCAGAATATACTGCTGTTAAGGAGAGATTTCCCCCCGTTTCTGCGTCCACTCATTTTTCGGCACTCACGCCCCATTTAGTGCCCCCTCCCTCTCTCCATGGCCCCTCGAATCTCGGGGCCGGGCCCCCTCTGCACTTATGATTCACTTGCCTCCCTTTGCCCCACCGCACATTTTCCCTCCTCCATGCTCTCTCTCGCACATTTTGTATCCATGTTTCACCAATAGATCTCGCTGTCTGGTCTTTCGGTTCGCGTTCCTCCACAGATTTTCATGTTTTGCATTTGATGGGGTCCGCAGCCGGAGTCAGCAGCCTTCGAGTCTGTCACCCAGCTCCTCGTTTAGTAAAGCTTGGCTCTGCTCCTGCGACGTATGAGTGCGGACGGACCAAGTCCCTATTCGATTTCCACCTTGCTTCCTTCCATTTACCTTTCACCTTGCCAAGTCGCCGCCTCCGACACCGGTTTGTGCTTGCACACTCCAAGCTAGGAATGGCATTGGCTCCCTGTCATCCCCCCGGTCGCTGCCTCCGACACCGGTTTGTGCTTGCCACTCCAAGCTAGGAATGGCACAGGTTTGTCCATCCACCATCCTTGTGCAAGGTTAAATTTTTGGAAGGGAGTCCAGTTTCCGGTTCCCACCCCCCTTATTTGTCGCCCTCCACTCAGCCCATTAGTCACCCATATCCCCGCCCGCCATTTTTTGTATTCGTCGTTTAGTTCAGTTTGTCATTTTTTATTTTGTATAAGTACCAATAAATGCACCCCTTTTGAGAGCTTCTGATGATGGATTTCACGCGCCATTAGATGTTCATCTCTTACGTGGTCTGAGGAAGCTCCTAAAAGCCCTTAAGGCGTTTGGTGCACCCCCCCCCCCCAAGTTAGCCCCCCTCTCTCTTTTCCTCCCTTTTGGAGGTGGTCCCTCGGTTTCCCCCTTTTCCACCATCTTGACTGAGCCCCTCGGTTTCCCCCTATTCAACCACCGTGACTGAGCCCCTCCCCCCTCTCAGTCTCGTTCAACTGCATCGATAGAAAAAATCTTTTATCAGTGATTCGACATAATCATGATAGGTTGTCTTTATGAAATGGATCTTTGAGGGCGATATGAGTAATAGAAGTTAGCTGTAAGCAGAAATCAGCAAATCATAGAACTAGAAGATGGATAGCAGATAAAAAGCTTCAAAATATGCAGGTTAGGAATTTTTCCAATACTGGCTCATTATTGAAATGGATAGACAAAGCGATACACGAAGATGACTAACTGAAAATGAAGCGATTCTATTGATGAAATTGGGTGGTTGCTGTGGACAAAGGAGGTAAGTAATAGACTAACTAACTGCAATCCACGAGAGACCCTTCAGTTAGTCCATCATTTTCCCTATTAGTCTATAACAAACACCCGTTTCAGCCAATAAGGTCGCTCCATACTCCCTATGTTTTCTTTATCTATAGCTTTGTCTATAAATTTCAATAATCAGCTCGCTGGAAGAGAGATTGAACCAAACTGATAATGATAGAGATATACTAGGTACCCCTAGGTAACCCTAGCCATACTAAATGTAGTGCTTTGGGACCTTAAGATATCTGAAGAAAAGATAAGGAGCATTTACAATGCAACCGACACACTACTAGTACCCCGAGGGTTTGAGGAATAGCCCATAAAATTGCAGATACGACCGGTCATGTCTAGAGGCAATTGGGCTGTTTATACATATGTGTGTTGGGTAGGGTGTCCCTTTTTGGACCTTAAAAAAAAATGCGAAATTCAACAGAGATACTTGCCAGAAACTTGTCTCATGGTTAGAAAAAAATCACAAAAAAATCTCAGGGTCGTAGGTAAAGGTTAGGTGGTCCCGCAAGGCACTTAAGTGGTTTTACCGATTTCTCATCTTGGCGATTTTGCAGATTTTTTTTTGGTAAATGCAATCGAGCTAGAAAGTCGCAAATGCGAATAATGAGACTTCCGATACTATATTTTAAGAGATAAATAACAGTTTGGACCCACGAAGATCAGAAATCCCTCGTTCTTAGCTCTCAAAATGAAAAAATCAGCAATCTTAGCATTTTGTAGTCAAACCACTGCTCGACTCAAATGTCGCGGCATTTGATGCATTGTTTCACAATGATCCCATCGGAGGAGCAAAAAGTCCTTCTAGTATGTCCATTAGAGGTGTAGGTTTGGCCAATTTTCGTTCATATTAAACTTTGCGCTAATTGTTTAAAAATTTATTTTTTTTAGAATTATCCTGTTTTTCATCATTTTTTAAAATGTTTTAAAAAGGGAGACTCATTTTACGCCAGAATTTAACTCCTTTGCCAAACAATGTACGTAGGTGGTCAAATCCTTCTTCTAAAATAGTTTCTGGATTCAAAGCCTCCCAAAAAAGCTGATGTTGCCATATTTTATTGCCTGAAAACACAAAAAACCGAGTACCTATTTCAGTATTCGGAGGCTGTTCCTCACTAAGCTCAATCAGCAAAAATCAGCAAACCTTGAATTTTCATACGTTATGACCACATTACTAGTGATTTTGCACATGTATTTATCTATTGAGCCTCCCACCGGGGCGGGACATTGCCACATATCATCGGTGAAAGTCGATAAAAATCCGCGTTTCCCTAGATCTGTTTTTTTAAAGGAAGGATTTGACCACCTACGTACATAGTTTGCCAAAGAAGGTAAATTCTGGTGTAAGATGAGTCGCCCTTTATAAAACATTATAAAAATGATGAAAAACAGGAAAATTCTAAAAAAAAAATTTTTAAACAATTAGCGCAAAGTTTAATATCAACGAAAATTGGCCAAACCTACACCTATAATGAACATACTTGACGGACTTTTTGCTCCTACGATGGGATCATTGTGAAACAACGCGTCAAATGCCGCGACATTTTAAGTCAAGCAGTGGTTTGACTACAAAATGCTAAGATGATTTTTTCATTTTGAGAGCTAAGAATGAGGGATTTCAGATCCTCAGGGGCCCAAACTGTTATTTTTCTCTTAAAATATAGTATTGGAAGTTTCATTATCCGCATTTGCGACTTTCTAGCTCGATTGCATTTATCGAAAAAAAATCTGCAAAATCGCCAAGATGAGAAATCAACTTAAGTGCTAGAAAACTACTTAAGTGCCTTGCAGTTGCGGGACCACATAACCTTTACCTACGACCCTGAGATTTTTTTGTGATTTTTTTCTAACCATGAGACAAGTTTTTGGCGAGTGTCTGTTGAATTTCGCAATTTTTTTTTTTTTTTTTTTAAGGTCCAAAGTGGGACACCCTAGTGTTGGGGCGCATATGGGTGTGTGTGTACGTGTGAGGGTAGGTTTATACAAGGATACTGTAGAACCATTAACAAGTTTCTCCATCAGGTGTGGAACCATAAGTTCCATTTAGTTCAACAGAGAAAGCAGAGGAATCCTTTTGTCCGCCAGCGTTGATAAAAGAAGCTTGTGGATTGAACAAGAACATCCGGATAATCAAGAGGTTTCTAGTGTTCTAGTCCAGTCAATATAGGATTCATGAAAGAAAAAGTTTTAGTCTTTTCTTTGATGTTCCCGTGGAATCTTTTGAAAAAGTAGTTATCTCCGCAATTAAAGGTGGCCAAATTCAACACTAGATTCTTGTGAAGGAGTATGACAAAAGTCTAATGGCACCGGTATTGGAATGGTGGGAAGCTCAAAACGATTTTCCATCATGTATTCCCCATGCATGTATTCCGCTATGTATGGCGTGAGAGTGTGAAATTCACTCTATTTTTCTGATGCACCAGTCTATTTTTACTTATTATTAATTATGCTGTTGCTCATCTTTTAAGAAGATCTCNGGAAACCTACATTTCGTTAGTTCCGTATCGTTTATGCCGTGATTTGAACCTTGGTTTCAAACTCAGGTTTCGATTGAAGTTAGGTTAAGAGGCTCGCATAAACATAGCTACTGTATACCAAAGCCTAAATAGTAGAAAACGGTAGAACCATATTTCGCGGATTTTTTCAGGTGACCTCCAATCTCCGCGAAAATAAGATATACTGGATACCAGATAGGGTTGAGGTTTAAGGAACCACAGTGCTCACTAAAGCGACCAATGAAATATTTCATTAAAAATTCATGTTTTTAGGGTTTTTGAAGTTTCTAATTGCATTTCTTGCCCTTTTGATACTTCAGGGTGGAAGGAGGGGGAAGGGAAGGCCGACCAACATCAGAAAGTCAAAAATTTGTCATGTTTAACGAATTTCTTGAGCCCATTAAATAATAATGATCTTCTCACATCCATTCACGTATTTAGGCCTAATAGAACTTATTTGAAACCAAGTTGGCAATGGATTTGAAAATTCTACCATCATTATATGGCACCTAAGTTTAGAGTTAGTTAACCCTGACTGGCACTTATATATCAGGTGAAATGTCAACTTCACTGTTGGACTTTAATTAATGTAATCTCGTATGCTCGACGTCACTCTGATAACTAAATATTGACTTTTTAAAGCATAGTTTTACCAAATTTAGCGTTACATTCCTTTTAAAACCTATGCCATTGTATAAATAATCGGGTAGCGGACACGCCCAGCGTTAGGTACCGTTTTGCGTCCTGCCAAGCTCTCATGAAATTATCTTATAGAGTATGATATAGTTTCAATTGATCAAGTTTTTTTATTTTGCAGGAAAAATCCTTCCGGGTGTGGCAGCACTGTCAGATGTTTAAGTCATCACTCAAAATCTTTTCAAATTACTCTTCAACAAAATTCCTTCTTGATTGATACTTTAATCAATAATTGTTTTGTTTTGTTTTGTTTTTTTTTTCATATTTAACTCTTACTTTGAACAGAACAAAGTTCCACAGCATACTTCTTTTTCTGTTTTTTCCATCTTTTTTTTCATCACTTTAAGTTCTGTTAGCCGTTAATTATTTTAATTATAATAAATAATATTTTTAGAGCGTTAAATTATTTGATTTTGTGCTATTGAGTACAGTTCTGAATCTGTGTTTATTTTTTTATTTCTAACAAAATAATTAAATAAATGGATGATTTAAATTTTCTTGTTTCTTTCATGATTACTAAGGAAACCCATATTATTTAAGGTAATTCTGACTGCCTGTCTTCATATGTATCTCGACATTGTGTCGAAAGTGAACGATTTATACTTATCAAGACTTCTACAGCTCAATTCTGCCTTTTAAAGGAGAAACGCTGTACGCTCATGCGAATTTTTCCCGATTCCTCAATGATACTTAAAGTTTCTGAGAAACTTAGCAATTTTGATTAAAGAGATATTGCCACCGTGAGAGCTGTTAAAGTTTAGAATCTTATCAGAAGGCCCAAACGTTTCCGAATCACTTTACTTTGATTTTATGGGGTCGATTTTCCGTGAGGCCCTTAAATCTCAATGACTTGTGACCAAAAAGATAAAAAAAAGGGGAATTGAAGGAAGAATTGGTTCCTAGTTTGGAACTCCCGTCTGGGCTCCATGGGAAGAATTTCATTGCTGCCGTCTCTTGTGAAATAACACCAAACTGAAAACATTTTATTACAGATATTAACTCTATTCTGCAATCTTCTATAAACATCAAAATTCCAAATTAACATTAACTTTTAAGAGGTGGAAACAAATCTTTTTCCAAACCTCCGAGGTTATTTCTCAATTGATGTCACCTTTTTTCGTAACTTCGGTCTACTGAGGTGGATCCGAGCCTCCAAAGTTACTCACGCTTCTTTCTCGGCTCGAGGGTGATGAATCTTACATTGGATTTTTGAAACAATCAACTTCGTCAAAATGGTGGCGAAAAAATGGCGGAGAATGAGCCAAGAACGTTCTAGGTAACTAATTTAATGCAAACCCATTGGGAAACGGCCATAACACCGATTTTTCCATCACTTTTCCGGCGCTATTTCCAAAATTATTCAGTATTTCAAGAATCTACTGAAAGATTCCTTTATATCGAGCCAATTGCCGCCGCCATGTTGAAATTTGTCCGCATTTCAGATATCCAATGAAAGATTCGTTCTTCTCGTGCCGAAATACCCCCGAATACAAAGTTTCATGCAAATCCAACGATAAGCAGCCTTAATATCCACTTCCCGCTCTAGGCCGCCGTTTTAAGAGGTTTTCGGGAAAACCAATGCCAGAATCGTTTTTCTCGTCTCAAAAATCCCTGGGATTCCGAGTCTCACGCCAATCCGTCAATAAACAACGGAACTGTCAGATTTCCGCCATTTTGAACTTTGACCGGCCGCCATTTAGTCAAAATTCAACATTTTGACCTGCGGTTTGCGCCAAAATGTTTCTTTATTTGTAATCTTTCGAATGAGGTATCACAAAAGTGGGGTTGCTATTTGAAAAAAGAGCCCCTGGCCCCCTTTGGAGGGCCGCACGGTGGATCGAGTCGGGAGGGGTCGGTCATCGCGCATCACGCTTCTTATCTTCTCTGATTACAGAGATTTCCCGCCCTTAGAACAGAGCAAAGAGCCTCCCAAAATTTGGCCCCTTTTTAGGTATTCGATTCGACCATCGAACCAAGGTTTAAATGGAAGCTTATATTAACAGAAAACTCAGGAAAAAATTTCAAGATGAGTATAGGAACCGTTTTCGAGTTACGGGTGGGGGCAAAGGGCTCACAATCCGGCCTAATTTTTTGCTGTTTTCTTGTAGAATTGATGTATCGGCGGGGTTCTTATCGTTGTTTACGCATGTGTAGGACATGGATTCCTACGTTTTTTTACACGTAGAATCGATTTTTAACTTTGCCGAACCGATATACTGAACAGTTAAATCGATTTTGAACGATTTTTTAAGGAAAATCGATGATTTTTCAGGATCGAAATTGTTTATTTTCGATTCATGAATGAATAAATTCACCTGAAATGACTGAAGCACACGTAACCCTATGTATTTTGACACGGAAAATTGAATTTTAACGTTGAAGAGTCGATTTATTTATCGTTTGTATCGAATTTTTGCGATTTTTTACGTAAAATTGATGACTTTTCGGCATTAAAATCGAGTTTGCTCCATCCGAGATCGGAGATATGTACCCAACATGATTGGAGCACATCGACTCTTACGTATTTTTACACGTGGAATCGATTTATAACCTCGATAAGTCGATATATCGATCAATTGTATTGAATTTTTGCGATTTTTTGCGGAAAATCGATGGTTTATTGGGATTGAGATCGGTGTCTCTCCATCCAAGATCGGAGAAATGTAGGTACCCTTCATGATTGGAGCACATCAATTCTTACGTATTTCTACACGTAGAATCTATTTGAAACGTTGACGAGTCTATATATCGATCTGACATACACAACTCTTGCGATTTTTTACGGATATTCGATGGTTCTTTTGGATTGGCATTGGAAAAACCTACCAGACATGACTGGAGCACATCGATTCGTTCGTGTTTATTCTCGCAAAATCAATTTTTGAAGTCGATGAGTCGATATATTGACTGGTCATATTGACTTCTTGTGATTTTTATGGAAAATCGATTTTTGACCAGGAATGAAATTGGTTACTTACGGTCCGAGGGTGGAGATACGCACCTGACAAGGTCGGAGCACGCCGTTTCCACGTACTTTTACACGTAGAATCCTAACCTAACCTAACTCGTCAACCTTAAAAGTGGTTGACGAGTCGGTTTGGCGATCTGACAAATCAATTTTTTGTAATTTACGGAAATCCAATGGTTTCTTGAAGTTAAAATAATTTTGATTTTAATCAAAATGAGAATGAAGGAATGCACCCAACACGACTAAATTTTCTGATAATCCGACGGAACCAAATCCATTGCCACCAGAGTGAATGAGTGAATGAATGACTTCACTTAAAATGATTTAAGAAGATACATACACACATCTACCTTTTTATGGAACAGTATGAGAATTCCGGATTAACATATTTGAAGGAAGATAAAACTGTCCCTCGAGTTGGCCGAGTATGACCAATCGATAAATCGACTCGTCAACCTTAATAATGATTCTACGCGTAAAAGTAGGTACGTGGAAACGGCGTGCTCCGACCATGTCAGGTGCATATCATCTCCACCCTCGGACCACAAGTAACCAATTTCATTCCTGGTCAAAAATCGATTTTCCATGAAAATCACAAGAAGTCAATATGACCAGTCAATATATCGACTCATCGACTTCAAAAATTGATTTTGCGAGAATAATCACGAACGAATCGATGTGCTCCAGTCATGTCTGGTAGGTTTTTCCAATGCCAATCCAAAAGAACCATCGAATATCCGTAAAAAACCGCAAGAGTTGTGTATGTCAGATCGATATATTGACTCGTCAACGTTTCAAATAGATTCTACGTGTAGAAATACGTAAGAATTGATGTGCTCCAATCATGAAGGGTACATTTCTCCGATCTTGGATGGAGAGACACCGATCTCAATCCCAATAATCCATCGATTTTCCGCAAAAAATCGCAAAAATTCAATACAATTGATCGATATATCGACTTATCGAGGTTATAAATCGATTCCACGTGTAAAAATACGTAAGAGTCGATGTGCTCCAATCATGTTGGGTACATATCTCCGATCTCGGATGGAGCAAACTCGATTTTAATGCCGAAAAGTCATCAATTTTACGTAAAAAATCGCAAAAATTCGATACAAACGATAGATAAATCGACTCGTCAACGTTAAAATTCAATTTTCCGTGTCAAAATACATAGGGTTACGTGTGCTTCAGTCATTTCAGGTGGTTTGAGGTATGTAACTTTGAGGTAACTTTGGTGTATGAATCGAAAATAAACAATTTCGATCCTGAAAAATCATCGATTTTCCTTAAAAAATCGTTCAAAATCGATTTAACTGTTCAGTATATCGGTTCGGCAAAGTTAAAAATCGATTCTACGTGTAAAAAAACGTAGGAATCCATGTCCTACTCATTGCGTAAACAACGATAAGAACCCCGCCGATACATCAATTCTACAAGAAAACAGCAAAAAATTAGGCCGGATTGTGAGCCCTTTGCCCCCCACCCGTAACTCGAAAACGGTTCCTATACTCATCTTGAAATTTTTTCCTGAGTTTTCTGTTAATATAAGCTTCCATTTAAACCTTGGTCCGATGGTCGAATCGAATACCTAAAAAGGGGCTAAATTTTAGGAGGCTCTTTCCCTTGCCTGGTGTATTTTTCGTTGTAGATTCCATTTTTGAGCATATTTCAGCCGAATAACGAGTTTTAATACGATTTTGACACACTTTTTCATGACTATTGTAAATGGGACCCCTGATAGCTTATTTTTCTCGTTACCTTCGGCGAATGGGACCGTAGGCGTCTTATATAAAGAAGAATTTTGCAGAACTTAACTCGAAGACATTACTTGAGGAGTAAGGGAGGGCTGCTTCACAGGCCCCTCACCATTAAGGTTGCCATATTTCTTTCAATTTCTGCTAACATGTTTTTTTTTTTCATGTTAATTGGATTCTCGCTATTGCATACTAGAGTACCTTTATAGCGAGAGTATGGACAGATCGCTTGATGGAGGGCTTAGGGCCCAAAAGTGCAGCCACCCTTCTGAGCAACCTCTAACACACAAAATTTCACTGCCAGCCTACAGAGTTCAATTCTAACCAAGATGGCCAAGAATGTACATAAATAAGCGTTCTTTTGCAAAAATAAGTAAATTTATGCTAAAAGTAAGCCAAATACATGCTCTATAAACGGCGGTTCGTAACAATGGAGAATTTGCAAGGGTCTGAAATTTGATGAATTTCCTGTTTAAGTGGAATCCTCTGAGTGAACTGAACACGAAGATACCCTTGATTCATAAATTGAGCGATTATTAGAGGAGATATGACAAAATAACCGATTCTGCTAAAATACATGTGTTTAAATGGGAAATGCCGCCAGATGACGTCACAAGGCGGCGCATTTTCTCACTTTTAAATCAATTTTTCTCCAATTTCCCATGTCAGAAAAAAATTATGAAAAATATTGCGAACTCAGCTCATTAGGCACTTTCAGATGAAGCAATAAAAAAATTGCGTGCAAATTCTCCATTGTATTTAAAAATCGCTCTGGACATTCGAAATTCATAGGTTGGCTGCATTTCTGGGCCCTGACTTCATTCACGGAGGCATCGGTGAAGGCCTGATGGATTTTCGGAGTTTCACATCTGTCCATACTCTCGCTATACAGGTACTCTATTGCATACTGACACACGGAGCATTCTGATAATGTTTATTTTGGGCGCTTCTGGGTACCAGATGCGCCCTTTCCAGCCGTTCGACTCCCCCGATGTAACATGTACTATACTACATACCGTTTTGCCTTATGGGTAATGACGCCATTCTGGTACACCCGGGAAAATTTGATTTTCTTCTGCATCTGGTATTCGTAAAAGTTTTCGTGAAATGTTTTGCTTTTAAGTATAACAATCTCGCACGGACGTATTACCTGGTTAAACTATTTTGGGGCTTCGTTATGCTTAAATGCCTCATATTCGAGGTTGTAGTTTCAGATTGATTCGAAAAAATCACGAACAGTCA